ACGTACGTCATCAAATGGTTTCGCCCTTCCTACCAGCAGCCCTCCAGAAAAAAGCCTTCCTTGAAGTAATTTTCGTTTGGAATTCCATCAAAACTTACTTATACAGCAAAGGAACAGAATTCCTGTACGATGGCTTCAACTTGTAGAGTACCTCTTCCCATTCTAGTCTCTGACATTTGTGCAGACTCTTGTTTATCCTACTTAGCATCTTCTCAGGGTGACCTTGATCTTATTTGGTTGACAAGAACACTGGGTTATGAGCAAAATTTTCGCCCAGGCGGGACTCGCCTGAAACGAAAGTTCTGTTCATAACCCAGCACTCTTGTGAGCCATTCACAACGCGAAACTGCGGCGTCAAAACAGTAGTTAAGCAGTTAGCAAACAAAAGAAGTCAAAACCCTCATTTAGTCATTGTCAACTGACATAAAATCAGCCTGGTTTTGTGATAATGCACACAGTTCGTCTAACAATTTTACTCCCTTTTACCTTCATATGGTAATTGCCAACCGGTAAACATCTTGGTGCCTCTGATCACGTATACATAGTGTACATAACTTAACGTTAGAAAGTTTTCGTCACCACTGTTTCCCGTTCATTGCTTACTTCTCAAAAAATTGAAGATTAGCTGAAGGCTTCGTCTTCTAATAATTTGAGCTCAGATTCGCAATTTGATTCTTAGGAGTGAAGGATTTGTCAGATCAAAATCTAAAGTAAAGTGGTTGAGTGAGAGAAAGTACAGGGTGGCGAAAATTACGTGCGCGTGACATTTCGTTTCGTTTTTTGTTTTAGTGAGAAAGTTATGCGTACTTTTCCTTCTCAAAATAATTGCCCATTGCTAATTATTGGCTTGTAGGAGAAAAAATTGTTTCCCAAGTTCTGTGAAGACTGTTCAAGTTGGAACGCGATTGCGCGGCAAGCAAACAGCTGGACTGAGAGCTCAACGATTCCTTTGAGGCTCACTGCTTCTCTGAGAGCCGTTCAGAAGACTGCAAAGCAATGGAAAGAACAAGACTAGGTTTCCTCTGACTCCGCAAGGGTTGAGAGCGGAGTACCAATTTGTAATGGGTAGAGAGAATTGAGAAGAGGAATAACAAAAAAACCACCAAAGCTTGGAAAAGAGTGCCAAACAGCTAGGAACTCATCGAATACTCACAAGAATTTCGTTCCTTCAAAGTTTGATGGGATGGGGCTGCACCGGTGCTCCGGGCAAGACTTCATAGGCTCCTTCTGATGCAGACATGGAAATCAATGGGAACAGCTATCAAAAAGAGCTCCTCAAGAAAGCTGTGACTCTCCAGAAGCAGAATCATAACAATTTTATCTTCCCAAAGGAGTAGGCTCTAGACTATGGACCAATACAAAGATGCACTTCTTCAACACCGGTATCGGCTCTTTGTGGCGATGGATTCATGATCTGCTAGCAGTCCAAATTCGAATCCACTAGACTCTCTGTGTGTGGTTTTCTTTGAGAGTTGCTGAGGAATCTAGAAGCAAAAAGTCTGATGACCTTCAAAAGAAAAGTACAAAATTTGGAGTATATTATGCGATGAACATAGCCGCACCATCGACTTGATGAAGAAGCAAATTGAGGCCAGTATTAAAGCTGATCCACGGATCTCTTTCACTGAGGGTCCTCTCTCACTGAAAGATCTCGAGCCGGTTGGTGGCGAGGCTACGTGGCGCGACCCCAGGTGGCGGATAGGGGGTAAATCGCGGACCAAAAGCCACCATGTACTTGCCCTGAGACGCAGGTGGATTCAGGGGATGGACTCCCCTGTTTCTGTAGTGCTGTGTTGATTCATACCAGCTGTCTCCACTCAGGCGCATCCATGCATGCTTGCGTGTGTGGTGCGCTCTGTGTGTGTGCGGTTGGTATCCTGCATGTCCAATGCTGGCGGATTTCGACTGCGCCTGTGGTAAGGTCGGTCTACAGCTGAACCTAACGAAGACGATGTTTATGAGAAACGGATTGGTTCCTGATGCCCCATTCACGCTCAACGGAACGAACATCACCGAATGCTCCAGCTACGTGTACCTAGGTCGGGAAATCAATATGATGAACGATCTAGCTCCAGAGCTGAGCAGGAGGAAACGAGCGGCTTGGGGAGCGTATAAGAACATCGAGGGAGTAGTGAAGAAGACGAACATCCGGCTCCGTGCCCACCTCTTCGATTCCGCTGTCCTTCCTGCCCTAACCTACGCCTCAGAGACTTGGACTCTGCGCAGGCAGGACGAGCATGCGGTCAGCGTTATCCAACGCGCTGTCGAGAGGACGATGCTAGGAGTAACCCTATACACGCAAGTGCAGAGGGGAATCCGGAGTTCGAACTACGCCAACGATCGAAGATCAGGGACGCTGCCGTTTTCGCCAAGGAATCGAAGATAAGGTGGGCCGGACACGTCATGCGATTTTGCGATGACCGTTGGACCAGAGCGGTTACCGACTGGATCCCTCGGGACGTCAAACGAACACCTGGACGACCGCCGGCCCGATGGTCAGACTTCTTCACGAAAGCTCTGAACGAAAGGAATGAAGGACTTCGTGTCCCTCGAGCGAGGAGGATCCACTGGACCACTCTAGCACGCGACAGGGACGAATGGAGACGTTGCTGGCGCCCGCTCGAGCAAATCGATGATCAACGGGACGACAGGTGATACAGGTGATTAGAACTGATGGCTGCCACTTCGGAACTTCTTCCTAATTATGAAACTTTATGGTTCGATTTTGGGAAATTGATTATTTTCAAATTGTTGTTGACAAAAAATAATGGTTAAACGTTTTATGGCGCACTTAACCACATTGAACACGGCAACCGTTTCGGTGAGCATTTCTGACTGTTACTGTAGTGTCTTTCAATGGAAGTAAGTGAAAGCTAAGTAAATCATCCCTCAAAAGTACCGTTTATGGAAAGCATCTCAGCAGCAGGCCTTTCTTCAATTCTGATGCCGTCTCCTGTTTGCCTCGCTAAATTCACGGAGGTGACCGGAACCTGGAAAATGGAAGCTATTTGAACTTTTTTCTTTATGGTGGAAACATGCTTTTGCATTTGCAGTCTTTGCTTGAACTCAAACCGTTCTTATGTTTGAATCGTTTTTGGACTGTATCGACATGTCCAATTTTATAGAAGCCTTGAAGGCAAGATTCAGGATTAAATTATGAGGTAATTCCACTCAAATGTGAAAGTAGGGGTAGGAAGTGGACCGCCAGGAGAAAAAAGAAAAAAATCGTGAAATACACAGGAAATACGAGCCTTTTGCTCTACGCTGCGGAGAAGTTCAAAAGGCCGGCAGGGAGATGAGAGATAATGTGAGCGCGGAGAGCGCTAGAGAAGTCGAGTAGAGAGAGCATAGCAGATCAAAGCGACGCAGACAAGATATCGAGCGGTGGGCGGAGCGTGTCGCAACAGGTGGAGCGTGTCAAAGTTCTTAGCGCCTAGCGTCTAAGTAACGCTTTTCGAAGTAGGGAAGTGACGCGACCTCTACACTTGCGTACCTAGCGCTTCTAGCCACCGTAAAGGCTCATTAAGTGGGTCTGAGCCCGAACTTTGCCTTTAAAAGCCCTACCCAGAGATACGTTACTCACTTGATCTACGAAAGACTATGTGGTTATTTTTGGATCCAGGCGCAGTAATCCCTCTAAAAGTTTAACAGCACGCTGATTCTATGGAGTGGGGGAGGGGAGAAGATCGATGCACCTTCTTATTGATCGGCCACTCTTTACCGGTCCGACAATTACCGTTTACCGGTCCGACAATTACCGCTTCCAGTTTCACTTTCGAGCCAATAACCACACCCGGGAACAGCGGGTGTTGTTTATTCGAAATGCGCCTTGTTGTAAAACGACATTATGTCGCTATTCATAAAATTTGAATCTCTGCTCCCTAATTGGTAGAGTTCATTCGATTGATATTCCGAGGCCCTTTGTGCACGATCCTCTTTATCATTATCAGGCTCATTAAAAGGCTGCGTTTTTGCAATATGAAACACAATCTCACTAGGCATCTCACTTGTCTCAAAAGTTACTGTGTGCAACTTTTCATATAGTTCACGTGTACTTGTACTTCACTTGTGCCACGTATTTCAATCCCACAACTCTTTGTTGCCTTTGTGTGCAGCTCACTTTTCCGTAAGCTCATGAAGACTTATCTTTTTGCTATCCAATTCCTGAACAGATAAGGTAAAATCTTTTTTGCTTGCCTTACAACAGTTTTTTCTTTGGCAAATCGGCTGGTGCAGTTGCAACTCTTTTTCACCACCCTTTCAACACGGTGCAGCCGGCCTAGTCACTTGATGCTTGACATAAATATCCCCTCCGCAAACATTAAGGGCTTCTAGCTCCTTTTTGGCTTCATTGCCTCCTCTCAACTTCCTAGGTTCAACCTCCCCATTATTGCTACTACTTGGAAATTAATATATTTGTATTGTACCTGATAAATCTTCCAAACGTTCGTGCGAAAGCTACATTGGCAAGTCTGTGATGGCTTGTAGCTGGACCGCGTGGCACTCTAATTAGGTGTCGCGGTTTTACTGCGATCATATGGTCGATTTTTGACAAGTAATATTATTAGTCATTTCATATGTTAGCCGATCTTATCGATTGGACCTCAGACGATCGTCGGAACACGTGCGCATTCCTTCGTGGAGCAAGAAGTCGAAAGGGACAAAAGAAGAAACTGCCAGCTGCATGGGCCCGCATAAAGGGACTCCGCGACGGTATTGAGGATCCCAGTCGTCATTACTTTGCACCGCTTCCTTCCATATCACTATATTCTGCTTCGCTGATTTGACTGTATTGATTCTGCCTCTTAATAGGATGAAGTGCGCCTTATTTCTTTGCTGTTGTGCCAACTATATAGAACAGTGGGCGCAGAGCCAAACAGCGTGGCACGGAGTTTGTAATATGTACATATACATAGTAACTATATTAGGGAAAGCGACCAGAGATTCACACAGCTACACAGGTGCTACAAAACCTGGTGCATTGGCCGGGCAATAATGCCGAACAGTTCCAAGACCGGAAAAAACGTTGACAAAATCAGAAACTGCTGGACACGCCTTGTGCCTTAGCGAATGTCGATATCATCAACACGATTTGGAAAGAATATCGGTCCTTCCAAGATGCAAAAAAAGTTCTTGATCCGCATCTAACAAATTTACTTACAGCTATTGAATTCATGGAGGTCTCTAGCAGTTATGGCGACCTCGATAAAAGAACTGCTCCGAAGTTTTGCTCTACCAAAAAAAGGAGAAAATAGATGAGGTAATGGAGACGACAAAGCGGCAGCAAAACGAAACGCTGGAAGCTATAAAGGAGGCGATAGAAATGATAGCAGAGCAAGCTCTTCATCGTCTTCATTGTCGTCACCAGCGAGCCTCAGTCCCAAAAGGCTAGACATTTCAAGTTCACCTACAGATCGGGGAAAAAACCAACCTCCAAATGCAGCAGGTACCATCGAACAATGGCGGCGAGGTCATTGACAGTCGAGCAGAAGCATCAGTCCTGCAGAGCAACCAGAGAGAACGAGGTGACACAGCGATCGCTCTTTGCAGTTCTGTCCAACCAAGAGCTCGAAGAAAAAATCAGCTCACATAGAAAGGTGTTGCCGTAATAACCAAAAACAGAAAATGCGCTGCGTCAACTGCAAGCTCATAAAGGAGACACGAGCAGCTGAGGCAGGAAAAGTTGGGGCTTAATAAGCCAATAGAGTTCTATCAGGAACAACTTCATGCCGAGAGCTGAACCGCAGCCATAACCGGAATCGCTGTCGCGGCATCTGCGTCTTCGTCCGAGAATCCTCAACGCATAAGCCGTTCGGAAATATGGTTATAACTCTACGCTAAACCCTCTAAATACATCGGTCTATGGAATACATTTTAAATAACACCAAATGACCTCCGTTGCCCAACGATTGGTGTCACTCATATGAGTCCGAAAACCTCGGGCGCAAGACCTTACTAACACACCTATCAAAGACGGCTTTTGTAATATAAACATAATCTCACTACTCATCTCACGGGCCTTACACAGAGTTATACTTTTCACGTACATAATTCACTAGTTGTCTTTTGGTGCAGCCCTCCTTTTCTGAGCTCATGAAAGATTGCACTTCCCCTTCACATGACTGTTTCTCACTACTCATTGATAATAGATCGTGTTCACTTCCTGGATAAGCTAAATCATCAAAAAAACTTTTGCTTGCCTTACACAAAACAGTTCTTTTGCTGGCAAAAACGGCTGCAAGCTGCGACTATTTTTTCGCCACCTAGTACCACGGTGCAGCTAGGCCAGCCACTTGGTGCTCGGTGCAAAAACCCCCTTCACAAACAGTAAGGGCTCATAGTCTTTTAGCTTCATTGCTTGTTCTCTGCTAAAGGCAACAAGCAGCACAGGAAACACATTAGTCAACAAAATGTACGTACAGGGGGGGGGCAAAAAGATCACCCTCCACATTCAAAACGCAATTAATCAACAAACAGCGAAACCAAATCAAATGAGCCCAATTGCATATTAAAGAGCACATTCAAGTCTATCAAAAGTTACATGACAGCCTTCTACACCGACGACATCAGAAGATTTTCCCACGGAAACATGGTTCACGGTACGAGCTCAACGACGTCGTCGAGGTACCATAGACCATTACGACGTCCCTGAAACGCTGGTCAAAAGCGGTCTTGCACAGTCACAGCTAGTGTCTCTGGGAAGCTATTCACCGCTTAACCGATTGAAGAAATTATGTTGCAGCTTCCAGGCCGGAGCGACTACGGTGAGCCTCGTTGAGCTTCCGCCGTAAAACATTCATTAACAACGGCTTCCTGTGCGAAGAAAAATCTGATCATGTGCGTCATGGGCAAAGTGACTCTTTTTTTGGCCTCCCTCCCGAGGGCGGTTTTTGGTTTGTCAAAAGTCATTCAATTCCTCTCGGATCTTCGTAAAGAACCGATATCGGAGCAGAAGTTGGAACAAGATATGGCTGCAACACTAGAGGAGATACATACGCAGATCAAAATATCCAAAGATAAGATACTCGATGAATCCTACAAGCACCATCTTCTCCAACACACGTGCACGGACAACACAGGCGGAGAACTTGCTATGATGGCGCATCGTCTGCTATCCACCGCCATAGTGACGAATGGCAAACTGCAATGCTTAACGCAAAGATTCATCCTCTTGGACTCCATTTATCTCATTCTCACTGACGATGGGCAACACAGCATACGCAAACGCTTAGCGTGTGAAACAGTACAAGAGAACTAAACACGATACCAGCACTTCAGAAGTCACTTTGATACTTGACAAAGTTTTTTTCAATACTGGATCCGTTGTCAAGGATTTCGTATGCGATACTGAACGAGCAATGGAACTAATTAGCAAGGAGAAGATAGTGTCGAAAGGAAGTAGTTTCAACAACCTCAACTATAACGACTCCATCAATGCCACGCTACTACGAATAGAAGAATATCTAGCGAAAGCTGAAATAAAACAATACGGCGGATGTTGCTCCGCAGCTGAAAAGGAAGCTAGTTGAAGATCTAAGAGAGGGCAATCCGAAAGTACAAATCCTCTCTGATGACGAATATATGGACAAATTGATACGAGAAGATGATTGGGAGGACCATCAATTTGAGACCGGCAGACGCGAAGAAATACTCAATGCCAGGAAGATAGTCCTAAGCAAAAAGGCGCAAAAGAGGACAATAAAGGTCATCAAAAATCCAAGGTCGCCAGAAGAGAACACTCACAAAGAAGGCAAAAGGGTCCTATACAAAAAAGCGCAGGGAAGGACGATCGGAACAATGATTAATTCGAGACCAACAAAGGAGAACAGATACCTCAACGCAAGCAAGATGCCCTATGCTGAAATGCACAAAAAATAACGATCGAGGCGAGGATTAATCCAGAACCAGCAAAGCAGAACAGTCACCTCAAGGCACGCAAGATAGTCCCATGCTTAATTGGACAAGACAGGCCGATCGAAATAATCAATCCACGGTTAGCAGAAGGGAGCAGTCGCCTTCACGCAAGCTAAAAAGCCTAGGAGAGAGGCCATTACTTGCTCCGAGAAGGACTACGACGGCTGCCCCACGAAAAAATTGGTAAATGCTCACAAGAAGCGGATGTATGTGCATTCTGCAAAGCACGGAACGAACAGTTCTCTGATTCCTGCCCTGTGTGCACTGATGGGGATCCACGGTTCATAATGAGAGAGGGAATTTGTCAAAACTGCTTCAAGAAATGCAAAAGAAAGGCGGATGAATGTCGAAAACTAACGAAGCATGCTAATATTGTTCAATCCTGAGAAATAGTGTGCTGGAGTTTATTATCCTGGGCATGACGGACACCACCGTGCTCTGTGCTCTGTACCGGACTCTGAAGATCGAATTCGAGACGCCATGTGCAAAGTATGTACTCAGCTGTAGAGATTTGAGCGAGCGCCTCGTCAATAATTACAATAATGCCCCGGGAGTGTAGCTAACGCTACTTTATAATTAGAGGTTTACTCATTTATTTTTACCTAATTGAGTACTTCTCATATAAGATTTACATTTAATCAATATTGCTTTCTTATAGCTAGTGACTAATTCTATGTCTTACAGGAAATGCCACATTCCATAGCCACCTGTTTTATACGAAGACAGCTCAGCAGTATGCTTCTTGTGATGTGCCCGTGGTCCAGCTCATAAAAAGGACTTAAACTGAAGTCAAGGCCCTCTTCTGGATTGGCTCTGATCGAGTGCGGTCGTCTCAAGCTCAAGAAAGGATCCCCAAACGACCATCACGAGGACGTCTTATTCCGGCAATACAGGACGCGGCATATCTACGTAGTGCGTAACCGTTATTCGCTGTTGACATAACAATAAATTGTTAGTATTATTCTGGTTCAGTACGGTCAAGAAGTAATCCGCGTGGCACAAGAAAAGGCGGGAAACTTTGACTGCAAGTAGCTACAATGGGTGTACTGCAATAACTCTATCAAGTGCATCCATCACGTGGTCGATAAGAATTGGATGGGGAGGGCGGCAGACTCAACCAATCGACTATCTTCTCCTTTTAAGAGTTCTCCATCTGAGCGCTCGCACGGTGTCCTTGATACCAACAAAGTTAGGGTAGTACGCACCCACATTACATTACGATAACGATAAGGTACAGCACCGCAACAACGCTGACCGGGAATTCTACCGTAGTCAGAGCGTGGAGAATGAAACACCCCGGCTACTTTATGCCTGTCCGCACCATATCGCCTCGACTATCAAAACAATCATGTTTAAAATGTCCTGAGTGCATAACGTGTTCATACTTCTCGCCACATCTGGGCTATTCCAGAACCACTACTCACACACAGAAACGATTTCTTAGGATGGTTTCCTAGCTTCCACCGTAAGCGCGTTCGCGGTGGGCCCGCACTGCCACATGTTATCGATTTGTTTTCGTCGTTTTCTCTGCGCCCTCCACGACGAGAGCCACGACGAGAATGTGGTCGTCAACCGCACGGAGCGCTATCGCTGTAGAAAGCGGAGTAGGGCAAGGCATCGGTTCTGCCGCAGAGAAGTGCGGGCGCAATGTGGCTCGGGGGGGGGGGGCAGTCGCCGCGCGCGCTCAGCGATGTAGTGTAACTCGAACATTCCAGCTTCTCACGGAACATTCCAGCTTCTCACGCATGCTAAGTGACTGCCCTCACCCCCCCCCCCCCTGAATTGGCTACATTCCCCCTGGCTCACGAATTTCCTGTTGCGCAACGCCGCGCGCGGCGGCTGGTCCCCCCCGAGTCACATTGCGCCGAAGTGCGGCCTCAGGTAAGGCCCGCACTTCTCTGCGAGGCGCCAAGCTTAGTCCCGATCGAAGGAGGTGTACACGTCAGTCGATCACTACGCGCTCCAGTGCAACATGGTTACGGTGGGAGTTAGGAACCATTCTGATAAATCGTTCTTGTCTACTAAACAGTCAACTTGGTCTTAACTGAGAAGAGCCGCGATCCTCCTGATTGTTGGTCTATTCCAAATGCCACGTACTTTGCAAATGTTCTTGCCGATTTAATTTGCCGCGCGGGTTTCAAGGGAACACCAGGTGCTACATCGGGCCAATAGACCATCACTATGAGGTCACCGGGCCACTGTTCAAGTTGTGATTACGTGCTTTGGAATCCTGAGCAATGTTTTGCAACCGCCCGGCAAAAAAAAAGGGGCCCCCGGTGCGGACTGATGTGAGTTCATTACTTGCCTGTCACAAAAAGCGTAGCGATCACTTTACTATGGGCTAACTTAGTTGGGGGGGGGGCACGCGGCGGCGCGGCAGTCTGCTCACCTGGGCCCTCTCGAGCGAGACAGTGTAAACTCGAACAACATCCAGCTTTTCACGCATGTCAAGTGACTGCCCCCACCCCCCAACCCCCTAGGCTGGCTACACTCCCCCTGGCCCACGGATTTCCGAACATGCCAGACGAGCAGACTGCCGCGCCGCCGCGTGGCCCCCCCAACTAAGTTAGCACCCTACTATTGCGGTTGATCATGATTCGCCTCGTCCTCTTCTTCGGGCACGAATGGTTTTGGTCATGTCGCTGCTCGATGTACGTAGAGCAATGCTGCTATGAACAAAACGGAATGTCTAGGACACTCTTCCAGGGTGAATATCGGTCGAGGAAATCCTCGACAGGGGGGTCGTACCTGTTGGGCTGGTCCATGGGGGGTCGTACTCTTGGGGGTCAGTAACAGAAGTGGTATCATGGTGCAGATAGGTAAGAGGGTATAGCGCAGCAGAAAATGAAAATATCTGAAAAAAAAACATGATATTAAATTTTCTTTGCAGGTTCAGTCGCTCCATTCCTCCACCTTCATGAGAAGGGCGTATTTGAAGGCAGTACAAAGAATGAAAGTGCATCCCCGCAAAGAAGAGTGCCACATGTGCGCACGCGCTGCAAAGGCACCTCCTCCGCCTATCACTCGCTCCTTCTCCCTTAATACCTCGCTGAGAATGACGCTGTTGTTAGGGACCCTGTCGGAAAAACGACAACCGTGAAGAAAAAGCGCTGGGCAAATGAAGTTGTTTTTTAGGTTACAGGAATAGCACAACACACTATGTCTACTACAATACAGTTTCGTTCGAAGGTCCCCATCATATAACACCTTTCAATCGATTCTGCAACTGTGAGTGGAGGAGGGATGCATGGCTTATACCAATACCAAATCGGATGATGACGATTGCTCCTATTCTTATTGTTTGCGTTCAAAGATATTGTTCTAGACACATTCCGAGTGTTGCCAACGAGTCACACTTGCAATGGTGAATGAGGGAGCGGATTTCCAGGTGGCCGGATCCGACCTCGATAGATCCTCGACGCAATTATCTCTTCAACCAAAAAGCTGTAGAAGAAAACTAAACAGACCATCAGGAAGCGCAAACCTTCCGCTTTCCAAAACTATCTTCCCTTTTTCAGGATCTTACAATATAAGAGATATATTGCTCTTGAAGTGGCAAAAACTCGCGTGAAAATTTGGGCCTCCTCGACATTTACTCGACGAAATTTGACAGACCCTATCTTTCTGCAAGGAAGGCTTCCAGAGCAATTTCGATGCTTGTTGGAAACGCGAAATCCAGCTCTATCTAACTCTACCTCAAGCTGCTTCAAAGGTTGTGAAATGGAGGAATGCAACCTTTTCATCGAGGGTGTAGATTCGGACGTTTTTTTTTGAAATTTCGGCAAATCTGACCCAGTGACAATCGCGCCGCAGCTGCCGTTGAATCGGCCTTTGATACACTCGGCTGTTTTGATATACTCAAGCAAGAATCAAGATTGAATCGCAACCCCGTGTCTTCAGGATTTCTGTGCGTTTCTGAACGAACCTCGCCTTGAGGTCACACAAAGTTAATGCCTCTTTCCTCGAGTCGATATTTCAGTATGTACACAAAAGTATGCAGCGATGGAAGACGTGCATAGATGACAAGATGAAGCGTCCTTAGCATTATTTTGCAGAATTTTTTTTGATTTGTTTTGCAGGATTTATTTTAATTGAATTAATTTGCTCTGTTAGAGGGGGTCGTGCCAGGATCTCGATTTCGGGGGGGGGGTCGTACCTCTGCGACCACGTACTCGACACGATTTTCACCCTGCCAAACACACTGAAGGCGTGCTTGGACGAAACATCCGAGAACCCTACTTGTTTGTGCATGACTGGGAGGACCTTTTGGATCATGCTCTCACAGTTCATGGCAATCTAGTATAACTGTTATGGTACATTATTAGGTTGGAAGGAAAGTTCCTTAACACTCAATTCGCGCTCTTTCTGGATTTCTCCCGAATGCTCTGGAATCTTCCATGGGTGGTATATAGTAGGAGTGGACCGTGCTACGTACGGTGATCAAATCAGCTTTCCCAATAATGGCGTTTGCATGGCACTAAATCAACTTTTCCCGCCAGACACTCCGAGCGCTCATTCTGTAAGAGCTCCGCCTAGAGAGATCTGCCCACCAGAGGTGGTCAGGATCAGTCCCGGGATAGGCCTGGGCACGTTCTCTCACATGGCGGTTTCGGCTTGGTTTAAACGCTCCGCAGCGAAGACTTTGATCTTTCTGACGCAACACACGACTACTGCCCATTTTGACGTTTGACGGTATTTCCCACGGGTGATGATCTGTCTGGAGGATTGACGAGTACAAGGGCTTCACAATGCTAGCTGCTCGAAAAGATTGCAGAAGAGCTTCGCCGAATATAGCGACAAGTCAACCTGCTTCACGACAACGCGCAACGTCGCGGGTGTTCGGTCTCAAGCCACAAGACTCTGAAGCCAGGCAGGACCGCGGCTGCCCGTCTGCCATATTCGTCAAACCTATCTATACACCTCTTCAACCTTTCCTGCTCGCTTGCTCATTACCTGGAGAACAGGAAGCTCGACGACGTAAACGAGCGCAAATCCGACACCAGAAGGTTGTTTGGCAAAAATCTTCCTAATTTCTAATTTCTGCGGTGTCACCCAAATGCCCGAAGGTTGGCGTAGTGTTGTTGTATCTAATGGTCAATATGTTATGGATCATTGAATAAATAAAGAATAAAAAAAATAAATTCAAAAATTGAGCTACAAGTGTTAAGGAACTTTCCTTCCAACCATTTTATCCACATCATTTTGTTAATAAGTCATTTTATTTTATCCACCCAATTGTAAATGCGCACCAGTGTATTATGCTGCTCCACAGTGAAACCTATACAGCGCAGAAGCGAGATCACATTTACTATTATATTACAGAACCTCTCACACGACTGGATTTTCTCAATGTTACGTAAATAGAATAAAAGGTTCACCACAGCATAAAACGGCACTGCGTGGTGTTTTGCTAGCACAGCTAGCATATAGGTTCCAATCTTGTTAGCTGTGTCACCATTGAGAGCGACCTGATCAGCTCCTGCAAAAGGTTACCACATCAGTATTCTACAGCCCTGAAATTTTCATAATCACTTCACTCGTAATCAAGTCAATATAAAATGATTTTCTAAGTTATCGAAAATGCAGTTCACGATAAAAGTTATCTCTTTCTGCCTTCAAAATTTTCTAGTTAAAAGCGGATTTTACGATAAATTGATAGTCCCTTGGAAATGAGGTAGAAGTGGTCGATGATAGGATCACATGAGGAACAGCTCAGAACCCAAGATGTGGGACCCTTGCTCTGCCCGCTGATTTCCGCATTAATGAATCGGTGCCGCCCTTTTCAACAATAACGCTCCCTCTACCAGAGCGGCTAGAGTAAGACGGTGAGGGGTGCGCCAGTTAGTAGGCGGGCAGCATCCCGAGCGTCGCGGTACGGCCCTGCTAGCCCGCTAGGGGCGTATCGTTCACTGTTGAATGTGCATCGAACCGCATCCTTGCGGAACCAAATTTAATAGCTCAAGGTCTGTTGTCCAGCAACTAGAGAATTAAAGCTTTCGAAGTGGACCGTTATTTAAGTGATGTAAATAGGGGTTGATATAAAGTTCAAGCCCCTTTGTTCATGACATACCCTCTGCTCGAAGGAAAAGTAAAGCTGGTAAGATTGGCAGAGCCGTTTCGTCAAATCCGACCCCGTTCGGTTTATATGAAACGCAAGCCGAGATTTCCTACTGATAGATGGAGCTCCCCTCCCCATAATGCTATTTATTATATGTAGATATTCGTAATGTGTGAAGGAAAGCCGTACTGTTCCATATTCCTTCTGGGTTATTGATAGAGGTTCTTTTTTGGAACGCAGGGCTATTTGGGAGACTTCTCGGATGCTTCCCCTAATTCGAGGCTAAACTCACCAACAAGTATCGCATCGATTTTATGCGTTTTCATAGTCCATGCTGCCATGCTATCGGTAATCAATTTGAACGGTACTCTTGCCGAGCGAAGTTCGGTAGCAGTCAAGCGTACACCCTTAAAATTCTGGTACTAAAATAATGATATAATAGAAGTTGTGAAATTAAACAAGGAGGGTTCCCGGGAGCTAGCTTCCTCTCCAAAAACTTTTATCGACGAAGAAGAAAAAACGGGAACGAAGAAATATCCCCAAGCAACTCGTGTAAGGCGGCTGAGGCAGCGCAGAGAGCGAGAGGTTTCATTCCGTAGACCCTAACGCGTCCGAACTTTCCAATACTTCTATTCTTTCATTGCCGTTCGAATCGTTTTCACTTTTTAAAGGATGTGGAACGGCGAATTTAAATTAATCGATGCTCGTAAGTCACGGTACGTTCCAGAAAAGCACTCATGCCCCTCCACGTTTCTAGTGGAAATCAAATGTGGGGCGCATGTTTAGGGTGTGAAAACCTCTACTTGATCCTGGCAGTTTACTATATGTGAATAAGGACATACAGGTGTAAGAAAATCTGACGGAAACCCCGAGCTGTGACGGATTTTTTCGTACACCTATCGATAGCACCATGTGGTAGTTTGAAAAAAAAAAGGCTAGAAGGAACCGACTTTGTTGAAACATTAAAATTGTCTGAGAGTCGCTACTTCAGTGCCATCGGATACATTACTGATTGATAAGTTGTAATTGGTAGAGAAACTAATGAAAAGTTGCTAAAGGCAGTGGTCACGATGGCTAGAGGATGACGTCATTGGTGGACTAGATCCTAACGCGTGGTTGGGACCGCCTCTCGGTGCCCTTCCACCAGTTACGTTCAATGACGTCATCAAAACCGAAACACCCTCCATCTATGGTGACCACTGCCTTCGAAAGACAAATTGACGAATACGAAAGCAAGTAAAAAAAGTAACCAACGAAAATAATCTTACTTGATTGTAAGGTCTCGTTTCCAGCGCATAAACCATTTCAACGAGGTTCGCTTGATGCAGAGCATATATGACCCCTGTATTACAGTATTAATAAGGCTGGTGTCAGACTTTGTGAACTTGTGGATTCGTTAGCGATTGAGCTTTCGCTAGCAATTCGAAGGGTACGAGCGATTCGCCCGCGAATTCTCGGATCAGCAAAGTCTGACAGCTGCCCAAAGAGCAAAGACTCCTAACGCCATTGTAAAAAAAAGTTTTTTCTTCTCTCTTCGCTCTGATGAAGGCACATCTCAAGAAACCTACTGGAATGTGCCATGCTATCAAAAATTTGTGTAGGTGTGATTGGAGGCCACTTTGTCCCCAGTCAGAATTAAGTGGCTGTAGCAGGACGATGAGGTCGACGCGGCCCTAAAGGTTATGTGCTTCGCATCTGCTTACAGCGGCGCCTCCATCTACGTCTTTGTAGCCCTCATCCTCCCTCGTCGCCGAAAATCCCCTAACCTCGTCGCCGAAAATCCCCTAATCATAGGTAGGGGCTTTGATCGGGGCGTGCTTGACAGTTTCTGTTGTTTTATTCTCCATAGATGGATCTCATGATCAGTTTCATATTTGAACCTCACTTGCACATTCAGGTTTTGTGAAATATGCTTTATTAGAAAAAGCTGTAACGACAAACCCAAGGCAGTCCCCCATGAGGACGTGGCTAATGCTCCAGTATTACAGATGGTCATCAGTACAAATTTTGACCGTGGTGGTTTGAGGCTCAAAATCTGTAAGAACAAGTTCTTATAAGTCTCCGTTGCATCAGGAAACTTACAAAAAATGCAAAAAAAACAAATATTATATATAGCATTGGGAATATACAGCTTTGATTAGAGCCCACTAAGCGATGGGAGCATTCCACATTTCACAAGCACAGCTCAAATGCAAAGTGGACAAATCGTCATGGAGCAGGAATCGAAAGAGGGGCTTTTTTTTACCTAGGAGTGACCAAGCCGCTGACGATAGTGTAGATTAGGCTTCAAGGGCCCTTATAGACTGATGAATGAAAATATCCGCGAGCACGGGTTTCCTCGGCGATCATCGTTATCGTACAACAGTCAAAGGGAAGGTTTGCAGGGCAGTGGTAAAACCTGCGATTTTCTGCATCAGCAGTGCTGGGCCGTAGACTGTCATCATGAATAGTAGCTTCTTTTCGCTGAAATGAGGATGAGCATGCGGCTGGATGCAACTAAATAGAGTGAGAAACGCGGACATGACGACGGTCCATGTCCAGTTGAGAAGCAAGAGCACCGAGCAGCGACTGCGATAGTAAGAACACGCTCCGAAAAAGGCCACTGTGCCATTCTAAGAGAAAAGAACTAGAGAGCGGCTTACCTCCTGATAACCATTCCAAATCAGCCTCCGGTTCTCTTCAGTTTCATCGTTAAGTAGCTTCAGTATAGCTTCTGCCACCCTAAAAAATTCTTGATTGGTGCCAGGCTTTCACGTTCCGGCTAAGAAGCATAGGTATTGGGTAAAGCAGGCGTTGTACGATTGAGGGAACAGCTCGTAGGGCACGTTGAGCATAGGCGGGGCGATCCAGGACGGTCTCGAGCAGGGTCAGCCGTCACGTTGGACCAATTTCAAGAATTTTACGACCCCTCCCCTCTTATGATTAGAGAGTCTCGATACGACCCCCTCCCTCCCCTGCACTTATTATGTACCGTACTGCCAAGGAAAAGACTAACATAACGGTGACTTTTTGGAACGGATTTTCTTCAACTATGGAAGTGTGAAATGATAAGAAAATTTTGAAACTCTGGATTTTTCTCTTCTAAAAAGTACTCAAACTTTTGTAAAGTTTCATTTCTTCAAAAATCGCCCCGTTGGACCGTTTTTTGTGCACAACCGGGTTTTTTGGCTTTCAATGACTATAACTTTCTTCAGATTCAACCTTTTGCAATTCTTGTCCCCCTGGGAAAACTAGAAGGTTAGAGCTTTCTAACGAATACTTGAACTCTTTCAAAATTGATGGAGTCAAAAATCGCCCCGTTGGACCGTTTTGGGGAAATCGCGGACCGATTTTTGGCAGAGCGCTGGTTTTTTGGCTTTGAACTGTTATAACTTTCTTCAGATTCAACTTTTTGCAATTCTTGTCCCCTGGAAAAACTAGAAGGTTAGAGCTTTCTAACGAATACTTGATCTCGTTTCCAAATGACCCTTTCAAAAAATCGTCCCGTTGGACCGTTTTTTTCATGAATTTTCGGATACTCTCCTGAAAACACGAGTTTTCAACACTCAAACACTCACAGCTCTCTTCAAACTCAATTTTATGGGGAATAATGATACCATGACATCGCACAAGCTTTGTGCTTCATAACAGATACTAAACCTTTTCAGGAAGTCGCCGACAGGCAAATATTTTTTTCCAAACTTTTCTTGTAAGCCTTTAGCAGTCAATCTACCCAAGTGGTCACTCTTTTACTAACTTAGGTCCAGTTTGAAGGCATTGGTTCTCCTCGAGAGCATATTTGTGTACGTGAACAGTCAAATATGGTGAACACACTTCTGCAGTAGACTCTTCTGCTCTGAGGTGCGCCATGCACTCGTTTGTGGTTAATAGTTGGAGAAGCACTCGAAAGTTATATCCCTCACCTACTGTCGCGACAGCAAACGTGTTATTCTAATCGTTTAATGCTGTGAGCCTGGGCCTAGAGCTTTATTCTCTGTGTTACATTTCGTCTTCCACCCATTGCAACGTTGACTCCTACGAATAGGAGCCCTTCTCCCGCCGGGCAAATACGACCCCCACGTAGGGCTTGGCCCAGCGGACGGCTGACCGCGGTCTCCTCCAGCAGGGCTGTCATAGAATGAGAGCATGGACGGGGCGAATGAGAAGATCTGATTGTCCCACACATGCGATGAAGGCGATCTCTGACTCCGAGCTGCTCCTTCATGATTCATCTTAAATATGGACTCCACCTTAATGATGTACCTCTGTTTCCTCGCATCCGCATCACCTTCTTCTTTAGCCACTTCTAGGATATGATCCAAAGCATTACGAAGATTAATAGCTGTTGGTCGTGACTCAATCAAATATGCTACCTATAAATAATGCTCAACTAATTGGTCACGACTAGCATCACAAAAAGTACAGTATGTCGCTTGGCTGTATCTCACCTTTTCTTCGACAAAATGGTTAAACTCATCAACATTTGCAAAATGCACTCGATGCAACTCAATAAGCAGGCCAAGCGCTCCTACTACAGCAATAAGAGGAGCTCCTCTCACCTGAAACTAATGTTACTGTGGAATCTTACACCCATTCTTGTACAAAGATTTCTCGCGCAGACCGACACGTTATCGTGATCCGCTTTGAACTGGCAAAATCACCTGCCTGCATATTTCGAATGACAGTAAAAGCATCTTTGGTGTCCTTGACCTGTATGAACACAGTTTCATGGGGCAAAAGAAGTTGGTCTGAAAAAAGTTACAACACAAGGTCAAATGTGCTCGATTGAACTAATTAGGTTTTTTCTGCTCACCTATCAATTTGATTCATAGAGGAGGACATGTTAATTCCCTAAGCTCATAACGCTTCTCACATAAAATACCTCGGCATGAGCACGAAATCATAGTTACATAGGAGAAAAAATAGGTACATACCTAAGACAGAAAGCTCAAGTGTATCACTATCGAATCGATAGGCAGCGAGACGGTTTTCCGTGTTCGTCATGAAATCGGCTGGTATGGGTCCATTGACAACAAAATCCATATCTCACTGTTCTAGAACCAGATTTCTAGAAGGAGAATTCTTATTTTTCAGTCAAGCATAATCTAGTCCATGAGCATGCATGTGAACGTGGAGATTGTACGTGCATAGTACTCCTTAGGGACTGTGTGAGAAATAGTAAGATGCTTCTCCCGTAATTGTCAACCTACTTGTTTCTTTCCGCATTCCATAGAGAAAAGTTAATATTATCAGTTTTTGTCGAGTGCTATATGAATATATACGTATGTAGGGTTATTGTATGTTAAAGAGAGCTACTGGTCAGACCAGGCATTACGTGTCTCACTTTCGACTACCCTCTAGCACCCAAAATTCCAAATGTGCGCACGCGCCAAAAACGTCCAACTTTAAGATGTCTAAATACGACTCCCTGTGACTTGACTATACCGCCGCTTGACCTTGAGTACCCGACAGGAGGCCCGTCGCGCGGCAACAAGGCAGAGTCAGCGGACGAGTCGCAGCGCGTACTGTAGGATTTCGCGTCAAGTTAAATAGAATGTACCATTGTACGTCCTACATCGCACATCACGCGCTGCGACTCGTCCGCTGACTCTGCCTTCTTGCCGCGCGACGGGCCTCCTGTCGGGTACCCGTGGACCTTGCCTGTACCAGAGAGCAGCGTAAAAGGAACTCAATCATTTCGGGATTCGATTTTACGAACCACGAGAAAGAGTAACAGGAAAAAGTAAGGGCGTTTTGCGCGCCAAATCCTACGGGAATCAAGCGGTAGGGTTAATTCAGCATTAACACTTGTTGTCATTCTCCCACTAATGTATTTATTTATTTATTGGTCAATCACGCAAGGTATGGCACAATGCAATCATTTATTTCGCAGCCGATTGAACTCAAATAGTCTAAAAGGCTCTTTTTTCTGACTGAGATAGAACTTCATGAGACCTCATTAGAAGGTATGTATGTGTGGAGCTGATTGCGTTCTACATGGTTTTTTTTACTAAGGGGCCGCTTTCGAAGAGTACATTAGAACCACGAGCCACCGAGCCCTGAAAATAACCAACTGCCGAGGCCGCAGCACAACAGGGGCGGGTGCTAAGGCACCTCTTTGATCTAAACACGAACCCCAGGAGCTGGCTCAGGGGTGCTTACGAAGGCTGTCTACGGGTGCGCATAGATAAGATCAAGTAAGATAATCAAGAAAAAAGAAATAGTGGACATCATTTGACGTAAGGGTATTTACTTGTGAGTAAAAGGGTAAAAGGGAAGGAATGAGTTGGTGGTTTCATCCTGGATGGCAGAAAGGGTAACGCAAAGGAGGACACAAATTGAAGGGCAACAGGGATCGGTCTAAAACCACATGGCCGAAGCCCGCAGCTGGATAACTGCTTCGGCTGATTATTCAGAATATGTGGAAATTCTGTAGGAGTATTCTCTCGGCGACGGTCGCCGCGGTTGCGCATCGCGTTTTGGACGGGATAGACTCGTTTTTTCTCATCTGGATACTTTTCGTATTTTAATGCTGTCCTCATAGTTTATGGAAATGGTAACAATGTAATGGTTGACTGTAGTGAAATTTTTGGAGGGATTAATTTCGATAATAAAGAAGTGTAAAAAGGATGCTGAGATATATTCATTCCTGTCGTCAATATGTTCAAGAAATTGATTCCTATACAACTCCTACACACTTGGAAGATCTTCAAGCGTTTTTAGTTGAAGGAATGGAATGAAAGTGGGCAAAGGAAAAGAGGAAAACAATGCCAGCGAGGTCGTCGAGGTCAGATAACAACGGCTCGTATCAGTGACCACATTAAGAATTGATTACACGTAAGATGAAATATCCAACATATCGGAATAAATTGAAGAATGATATAAAGGAGGTAACGCATGAGTACCGTTTTTAGTTGAATTCTTCGCTCCAATGAAGACCAATGTACCAATTTAACAAATCCAACTTCTAATAATTATTGAAAGAAATTTCGAAAGGCTAGGTGAAGCAAACATTAGTCGAAGATGTAGAGAGTACAAAGCAAACCAATGAATTTCTCGGGCGCTGAATTCTCTTCAGATTGCGCCATGCCTACGATCTACTTCCAAAAACCGCGGCACCAAACACATCGAATGGGGCGATGCACATGCGCTTCCCACTCATTTTATCATTTTTTCACAGCCCGATGCTGGCCTGTTTGTTGTATTTATTCTATAGGTCACACTACAACAGCTTCCAAACGACATGATTCAGCAAATGGTGAAATATGCTGGTGCTGCTGGTATCTGCTTCAGCTTATGATTAGCGAAGGTTTTCTCAGGCTCACGAAGTAGTCACCTCGATTCATTTGTTGTTTTCCTTCCATCGTGATGAGCATGTAATAAAAAAGGGCAGAAGAACTAATCACAATCCTATATGGATGGCTAGATAGATGTTTGCTGAAGTAATCACATCCAAGATAATCTTTTGTCGCTAGTTTCATGGCTAAAGAAAGTAAAATTAGATTTTTCATAGCCACGCACATCCCGTTGGAAGCGTTTCTGCTTCCGCACCACCGAACAACATTGACAAATTGAACACTGTTGAAATTATTTTCTGCCATACTCGCCGCACTTCCACGATACGGTAGGATCGAGGGTAGGGAAATATTAAGCTGATCATAGTTTGCGAATCGAGCGATTCGCCAGCGAATCGAACGTTGCACCAGCGAATCGAACTTTGCGCCAGCGAGTCGAACGATGTACCAGCGAGTCGAACTAGGTACCAGCGACTCAATAGTGGCGGGACCCAACGTTCAAAGGAAGCCCGCCACTTTCAAACAGTGTCCACTGTCAAGTGTCCATAAAGAGAATAAAGCCGTTCTGAATGCAGGGCGCCCCCCCCCCTAATGTTACGGGACGACCCGCGTTTTGAGCGAAGAGCATGCCTCCGGCAGCCTAACAAAGCCATTGCCGTGCAACTCACGCCGCGGCAGGTCCATCCTCTCGCCGACATTCTAACCGTTTAGCGAGAAGAATGTTAGCGTTGAAGAGGGCAGCACCGATGAGAGTCGCATCAATGCGGAAATCAAAGCAAGGAAGGGGTCCCATTTCTCGGGTTCTGGGCCATTTCTCATGGTTTTTCTTCTCCGTGCACCACTGACCACTGCTACCTTGGTTTCTGAATGGGCTTCTCTCATAGTGAAATTCGCCTTTAATTCATGATCAATTCCAAGAATTTGTGTTGAGGCGGTCGCGCGGAATGTCGCACCGGTCCCACATGGCTTTGAAAGTCGAAGTGCGCGCTGGCACCAGTATGTTAAACGAGTGTTTCTCTTAAATAAACGATAAATGATGAATAAGCTTTTCATTTCCTCATGTTACTTCTGTAAAAGATGCCCAAACCCGAACGGATGGAAGATCTATTACAGAGAAGTGGATCAGACATAGGACTTGGTGTACGTAAGCACAACGCCATTGCTCCTGCACAAGTTTTGTTCTATGAGTAAGCACATAAAAAATAGACGGATGGAAGATCTATTGCAGAGAAGTGGATCGGATGCGAGACAAGAGTCCCCCTGAGGTCGCCGCGCAAGCGAAAGTAGGTCACCGCACGCGGCGGCTACCGTATCCAGGTCTTGCAGTTTGAAACGTGGCAATTTGCTAGGACTAAGCTAAAACAAATGCAGAAATGGGGCCTACACAGACGGAACAAAAAGCGTTGTATCGATCGTCTAGAGAGCGGGTCCTAACTTGGCAAATTGCCATGTTTCAAACTGCAAAAACGCCGGCGACGTCGCGCGCGGTGACCTAGTTTTGGCGCGGCGGTCGCGGGGGACTCTTGACCGTCTCCCAAGCAGGGTCAACCCTATCGTTGTTACTTTTTGAAAAATTTTTACGACCCCCCTCCCCCAAGGTGGATTTGATACGACCCCCTTTTCCACACCTCGACCACCATCATCGTCTCTATAGTATTTAATTCTGATACCACTCAACCCCAAAACTCCGCCCACTTTTTCCTCCAAAAATGCCGTCGAGCGGGGGGGGGGGGGGATATATAAGGCGAGTTTTTTTTCCTGCGCCCCAACTCACCCAGCCTACCTACCCATAAAAACTTCAGTTTCACCTCAAACTCACATGATTTCAAGCGACTGAAACGGGTACGACCCCCCTCCTACAAACTCAACCAAGTACGACCCCCCCGTTGTTACTAATAACAACGTAGGGTTGACCCTGCTCCCAAGTGGATCAGATATAGGATTTGATGTACGTAACCTCGACGCCATTGCTCCTGCACAACTTTTGTTCTATGAGTAAGCACATAGAAAAAATAGCGACTGGAGAACTTCTCGTTACAGAAAAATAGCGACTGGAGAAATTTCTCATGACTCTGTACAATAAAAGTAAACTGTATATTGAACGAAATTTTTCAGGAATGCAAATTTTATTGAAAAAATGCACTAAACACGTCAAGAAAGGATGAGCATTACAACGCCATTAAGACACTATAATAACAGTTTCTAATGAAAATTTACAAAACTCTGAAGCAACGCGAAAACCCGTTGCGACAATACCAATGCACCAACATTAACACGTTCACGAAACTGTATTTCATGTGTGATAAACATGAGATTCTTTCCGAGTACATGCACACTGCAGCATAAATCACCACCACAGTAGATGAGCAGCAGCCGTCATATGTAAAAGCTGAGTGAGCGGATGCGTAGCAGCTACTTCACTTGCACGTTTATGGCTGTCTTCATACTTTCAGATGAGTAATGATTGGTCGCTTAGGTCCTAACTCTAGCTGCGAACACAATAATGCTACGATGCGTGCGCAAACCAGCACGCATTTAATTATTTGGCACAGGGCTGGGCGCACGGCTTTCCTAGGCACTGTGAGCTATATTTTAACGAAGTTTTCATATATGTACTACCAAACTATACAAGACAAACGCAACCTAAGGCCACGTTATGCGTAAAAGTGCGCTGTCGTGAACGTGCTAAACCATATCTACTTACGAAGGATCGATTGCTCATTTATAACAACATTTCACTTAAATCTCTATCAAATAAAGTACAATGTAGAAGTCTTCAAACATGTTTTGAATCCGGTTCCACAGCCGCACCCATCGTGTCCGACAACTTCCGGAGATCATGTCGGTATGCGCTTACCTAGAACAAAATACTATTTGAAAGAATTTCCAAAGATGGAACATGCACATCTACACAAACCGGGGCTCGGTCTAGTGCGCCAGTTGCGGAACTAAATGGTTGCCAATGGACACGGTTGCGCTGAAACTAGGCCGGAAATGGCCACACTAGCCAAAAGCATGGAATAGTTCCATTTAGAGCGAAATTGTTTCGCAACCGTGCTTATCAACGCCCATAGAGTCGCTGAACCGAAGAGAACAGGAATGAGATGTCTACATACTTCATCGACAGCAAGCAGGGAAATCAAGGCAACATGCTCCCTCAAAGGCGACGCTAATATCACACTCCTCTGATACAATTCTTCACAACCAGCAACAACATCAATAGAAGGAGTAGGCGAGCAGTTGCAACGCAGTTTAGTAATATTCTCAAGTAAAACTGAGCAATCAGACATTAAATCCCATTCCAAACAACATTATGCCTTAGAAATGTGATTCAACATTTGTGGCAGATTTACACCACGCAATCTGCGGTTAACAGAGTTGATGCGGACTAAGTTTTTCTTCCAGTGATTGGTTTATTGTTTGAAGGCACATTCCGCGATAAGTTCAGTAAATCAATTCTACTGTGATTAAAGTACCCGGGTCAGCAATCGTAAACGTGGCACCGAACGCGTATTAAGGCGCGGGATTATGACTCACATCCATGCACACTTCAAGCACCTATTGACCCCTAGCGTAGCCAGTGCGTGGGTGTCTGCGTCTCGTTCGTCCCCTATGCTCTCTCGCGTGCAGTTAAGTTGTTCCGCCACGGCGTTCAGTCCGTCTTACTTGATTGCCTGCCCTGTTAAGTCATCCACTGCACAGGAAAGGGAGCCCTCATTCCTAGAGATTCCAATGATTTCACTTCATTTCCTTTATTGGTATCCAGTTAGCACCTACCGCTTCACATTTAAACTCCATAGCCCCTTATTGCGGAATGTGCCTTTAACCCCACATGTCAAGAATGTTTACAACTCTCAGCGATAGAGAGATATTATCTACGTTGCAATTACGAACCTTTCCAGATATCACCACAGCGAAGTAAAATCAAGTACAACCACCAAGATATATGAAGAAAGCATGCAACCAAGGCATTCAAAAATGGAAACTACCTTTTGCTCAAGTATTAGTAGTTCCTGTTGCAGTGTTAGTTAATCACGTGATCGTACCGCTTGCGCCTCTCAGTCTTCAACGCACTTACCTTTCTTATGATGGCGTCATCATCGTCAGTTTCATCTAGTTGCCTCATCAGAGAGTTACGATCTTCTTCGCTAATCGACTAAAGCATTCTGTGTTATTACCTGCATTTTTACTCCACCTTACAATGGAGATCGCTCAGCGATGATCGAAATTCCGTAAGAAAGTGGCCAGCTGGACGATTACGCATTTTTACACCGGACAAACACGACCGTAATTCCAAGGTGCCCTCAATTCTGGAAGACGAGAGGAGCGGATCACACACCACAAGTGACAAGGGCGAAAGAAAAACGGCTTTTTTTTTCTAGGCGTCACTTGTGGTGAGCAGTCAATACTCGACGCTCTTCTCGTTTTCTGAAAAAGAGGGCACTCTGACCATGTTTTATTTTTAGGCAGAAGAATACCACTGCGAAAATTTGGGCTCTCTTGTTATTGCGATACAAATCGATGACCGGGTCCATCCAGTAGCAGGGGGGGGGGCATAGCGATCTAGAGCATTTCAAACCATGGAAAGCACATTATTTTATTGTAGACGTTCAGGACTAAGCCTTAGAAGGGAAGGAGCCCCCGGGTCCGTGAGCAATCTTGGTTTTCCCCGGGGGACTTCCTCCCCCTCCTAGGCTTAGTCCTGACCTGCTGACTAGGTGAATATTACTTTTCGTAGACGTTAATGTCATCTAGTACAAGAATACATACATTACACAAAACACCTGAAGAAATAACATAGGAAAAAAGCTGATAGCAGCTCGTAACTTTAAAGGACTCCTTGAGCCAAATTGGCATTAGAGCAGACCGTGCACCGCAATGCCCCCTCTTACCGGATGAGACCCCGATGACTTAATACTTGATCACGAACTTCGAGCATGACTTTGCAAAATTCATCAAAGAAAGCTTATCCACCAATTCCCTTGAATTCTCCTGAGTTCTGTGGCTGAAATGGCCAACACACTTTCGAATTTGAATTCCGTTTTAAGAGTAGCGGCAGTTACTTTTCACTAATGAATGAGGAAAACATAAGAGTGCCCTTTTCGCAGACGGTATCTTTGCCGCTCTTTCGAGAACCACTCAAAATTACCAACCAAAATTATGGAGTATTTTTATGATCAGGCATGTGAAGCGTATTCCAACAGGTGATATCTACGTACCATACCGATTGCAAACTAAACCGTGAACTGATTATATCAAAGTTCAAATTTTATACCTGTAGCAGGAGTGTTGAGTGCATATAAATCTTGATTGCAGGAAAATATAGAATTTACACTTCTTGTAGCGGACCTACACACTATCCATCACTCTACTGCCCACGAACAACCCATTCTACACGCTCTTGTAGGAATGCGCCCCAGCATGCTTGACCGTCGCGATTCAATAGCACAACGACATAAAGCGCTTAAGACTTTTTAGAAACTTCTACAAGCTTTCAGCATTCTCAAATCACAGAAATGTCAAACCACAAGTATTTCCGTTTCATCTCTGTGATCTACACATGTACAGTACCAGACGAGATGGTTCACTGCAACCATGTAATCACCTCCTTGATCAGTCAACCTCAAAAGCCATTTTTGACATTGTGAAGCCAAAGCTGTCGTGCAATCGCTAGATACGCGCACTGCATTCTGTCTCCTCAGGCACCTTTAACGTAGGTGAATCAGTCATCTGGCAAGTTTCCAGCCAGCTGCTTATGTGAAACAAAATCAGCTGGTTGCCAATGTCGTGTACGTGCAGCTTGGCTCCTTCCTCTGTTCATCCATTTGGGCATGACCGCGGCGAGCGCTTCGCTGTGCGAGCAGCCGGGGTCAGATGTTCGTCAGACTCGGCGATTGTGAGAGCGACGGACAAACGCTCATCCATCGCTTGCCAATCGCTCGTCCGTCGCGCGATTGCAAGCGATGCGCATCGCTTGCAAAGTGCACAAGCGACGGGCGATGGCTCTGCTCGCGATCGATACCGCAGCCGACTGCATCGATCTGGGGGCGGGGCCAATCGCCCGTCGCTTGTGCACCTTGCAGAGCGATTGCGCAATCGCTTGTCCGTCGCTATCACAATCGCCGAGTCTGACGGACATCTCACATGGGCGCGCGAACTGTGCCGATGGAGCGTTTTCAAATTCACCCGCAACAGCGAAGCCACGCCCAATGGGTGAAGAAAGTAACGGAGCCGTGCAGATTTAGCACAACTTTCCAAAGTGGCGAAAAGACAAAAATTCCGAAAGCGGAAGACCTACAAAGTAAGACTTGTGTTTTCGTCATTTAAGAGCGTTATAGCTCCCACTGGCGATATACGCTAGTGTTACGAAGAATATTATAAGAGACAAGTGTCAAATTAAATATCGACCAACTGCGGGAAATTGTATAGACGCCCACCTGCATGATATCTAGCACATCCGTTTGCAAATCCTCTTCAGTAATATTATTGATCGTTGTCGTTCTTGTCAACCGATCATAATAAAGCTTTTGTTGCAGTTGAATCAATTTGGAAGATACCTTCAAACGAAAACAGCCACATCTGCTTCAAGAAACTTGAATTTATAAGTTCTGCAAAACCAGTCGCATACCCGTTCTCGCTTCAAAGCACCGTCCCATTCCAAGTCCACCAAACCTCCCTTCTTGGCAATTGCACGTTTTACTCGCCGTGCAAATGCAATCGCATCTTCGCCTTCCTAAATATACGATTCAGTAATTTGCTCTTAATTACGAACATTTTCCATGGAGCAGACACTGAAAAAAGACAACAATTTTATACATTGCGAAGTTTGCCCTACTGGTTGCCGTTTGGATAGCACAACTGGTCTTTACAGAATACGTAGTATTCTTCCAGGAACGAAGCAATGGGACGAGTAATGCCTAGGGGCTGTATCCTGTCCTTCCCCTACACCAGGGGAACAAAATATCCCTTGAAATTTCCTTTGTCTTTCTGAAGAAAAAATCGCCCTAAAAAGCGTCTATTTTTGTATATAAGTTTGTAAAAGCAAACAACTGCGGAAAGTAAGAGGACAGTATGTTTATAAACAATTGAATTTAAAGGAACTCTTCCTTCCCCTAGGTCGGGGGAAGTATAGGATACTGCCCCAGATTTGAATTTTCAGCAGCCGCGCAAGCAAAGCTACTGGTAGCGCTCAATATTCCAAGTATGAACGCAGCACTAAATGTGAACAAGTGAACGTACCTATCCCCAACGATCATAAAGAATCATGACCAAATTCAATGAAGTCAATAAAACATCAAACAAAGCATCAAATGTGCTACTATCAAGAGAATGAGTCCAGATAAAAACTGATAGAATTATTCCAGCCCCCCCCCCCCCAGTTCACTGAATTGATATCATATAATAGCAGAATTCGGCGTACCTGCTTTGTCATCGGAGGAAGATACCACACATCACAAATAATGGCCCATGATGTCATCATCCTCCACAGATACTCGCCATATGACTGTTCGCTGCTATTCCAGAAAGCGTCCGTCAACCGACTGTCGTACTTCATTGCTATGGGATATATCGTACTGCCAATCTGCAAAAAAAAACAGTAAGCCACAACTAGACCTAGACTCTATTTTCTTGACAGCATCCTTCATGATATTCACAGAAATAGAACAAGACGAATGGGTCGAAGTGCGAGCACGAGAGCCATTCCAACGCGAACGCAAAAAAGGGAGCGCAAGGTATGATCAGACACCAACACGATTTACAACTCACTTACTCACATAGGAACTTGAGGATTGAGGAACATCTCAGGAGTGGGCTATTTGGCCCAAAAATGAATCTAGAGAAGTGGAAAAGACTGAAGGAAAACGAAAAGAAACGAAAACGCTGGAAATAGGAATCTCCCACTCTTTATGAGGTGACTGAGCTACGATGAAGAAAGCGAAGGGTAGAAAATTGGCGAGAGAGGAGGAAAAGACGACACGCAGCACGCAGGCATTCTACTTTATAGATTGTTGACTGATTCACGGATTCTCTCAGCTTCTGTGGATTGTGCCTTTGGTAGAACGCAAAAAATCAAACTCCCAGACTAGAGAAATCGAAGTTACGCTCAATGGAATTCGAATGGTCTAACCATTGTGAGCGCACGATATGTAGCCTCGCCAGTAGCAACTTTAAAAAGCTTAGAATTCCATTGCTTTCTTCTCACCACTCACTCTCCTCCCGCCAACGAATGATAAAGCGCTTAATTTGATCAAGCGACTGCAATGTGCAGCGAGACAAACAACCATGCTTCCTAAGGCAGAAACATTCCGAACGATAGACCTTCACTGAATCTGGGTCTCATCCGAGGTGAAATACGACCTGGAGACATGTAAAGGTCTATTGTTCGTGATCTTTCTTTTTCGTAACGCAGCTCTCTTTTAGTAACAGTTTCAACACTAATTGCGGCAAAATCAGCGCTTATCAAACAAAAAACTACAAAAAAAAACTAAAAAACTAAACGGCTCCCCCACTTTCTTCACGATTTGGGGCGCGGCCGCGGCGAGCGCGGACGAGTCGATAGTGCCCGCGAACTGTGGTGGTGATGCGTTTTCAAATTTACCCACACAGTTCGCGGGCACTATCGACTCGGCGCTCGGCCGCGGCCGCGCCCCAAACCGTGGGAAAGTGGAAGAAGTGGGGGAGCCGAGGGGAC